AAAAAGTTTTCCTATCTGTAGAAGAGAGTCGGTTTATACAAAGACTGTAAGCAATTTGAAAAATTCATTGCACATCTCATCGCACACCTCTGACCGTGAACTTGACTCGCACCCACAGCTATACTCTATTTCTTATGAATGAAGTCTCCGATTGACATCCTCTCACCTTACCATATGTTTCGCCTGCATCATGTGACACGACGTATGGTCATTACACTGTTCGATGCGATGAAAGTCCTTGTTCTGAAGGCCCTACGCCCCATTAACAGCAATTATAACACATCACGGTCACCACAATTGATCAGTAGCAGCGCAAGTTTCTCTTGAACACGCTCAACTGAGAGCAGGTAGTGATAACGCCAAATTCATGGCGAAACATTAGTTTCTCTTTTTGTTGTTTTCGGGGGGTCGACTAATATAGGGACTTACGAATTTGGACAAATTTGATGTCGCAGTTATAGTGCCGTCCTATCTATGGATGGGTAATATACAGTGAGCCGGTCAGTCAGACTTGTTCGGGTCTCAGTGCGGTAGCGCTAGGTTACGCGTTTTTCGTCTTTATCTCAGTTCGCGTGTACGTCTGGCGGCTAGGAGAGGTTAGCACGCAACGTTCTGAATTCGAGTGGCTACTCTGTGCGCGTGCGGTCCTACATAACGTGTACATAGGTGTTGCTTCTCCTAACACTCCTAATAATCCAATGTCTTTCCAGCTCGCCTTGGGCGACATGTTTGACAATAACGTTATTAGTTTCGTTGTTGGCTGTCTCATGGAGGTTTTCTGAACTATCTGGCATTCTGCCGTGCTTGTCGCTTCTGTGCTTCATTTTATCTGTCGCTGTTTGGTGAACCTTTTCAGCAGTGAATATGTGTCCACCTTTTCCGAGTTCCATTTCTTTTCATCATTGGCTTTTCTCAAGTAGTCAGTCAATTTAACTATCCACGGTATCCTCAAAGTCATCCTCAGAAACCCACTTTGGGTTGCCTTTAATAATGTTGCTACACTTTTACATATTAACATTGTAGTCACCGACAGATGTAACATATGTATGCCTACCACATCTGTCTTCCCATAAGCAAGAATAAATTTAGTGCCACCGTAACATCTGCGTGTTTGGCGTGTTTGTCGAATGCTGTTACTTACTGCTTATGATATAAATGTGCAAGAAAACTAAAACAATAGCAACATTATAGTATATCACAAATAAGTAATTTACAGTGAAATATGTTAGGAATGCGCTGCTCTGCAAAGAATAACTGTCAGCAGTACTAAATGGAATACCTGTCATTTGGATTTATCGCATCATCTCAAAACTGCACTCTACTCATGTGGTCGATTTGCAAAGCACTCGATCAAATGAAAGTGCTCGGCCAAGTACACTCAAAAGTCATTTGGAGCTTGTTCATAAGGTCAGAAGCATAAAATCTGTGGATATTTCTTTTAGAAAACTGCGGGATAGATTCGAAAACAGACCAATTATAAAGACAATGATTTCTGACAGGGCGAAAAGGTAGCGAATGGACTTACCGTCCTAGAAAGTCAGCAAGTTGATTGTCAAAATTTCAGTCAATACTATGTTGGATAAAATATTCTCTTGCCTTCAGTATCAATAATAATGTCGGACCTGATGCAGTTGAACCCACAAGAAGAAATTTAGGTCATTCCACTCAGGAACTCAATTGTATCTAAGCGAATAGATGACATGGATCAAAACATAGACAGTACTTTAGTTACTTTACTACAGTCCGGCAAATTTTCGTTACAACCAGATGCATCTGCTTTAGCTGACAGCGACGATCATCCTGGCATATGTCCGATTCGTCGATGCTAATGAATTAGTGGAAGAGATGCTATTTGACAGAAGAGTTAAAACTCATACGAAAGGCCAGTCTGTATTTGAGGCAGTCAACAGCTGTCTGACTGAAAACTCCATTCCAAAATCGAACATAGTTGCATGTGCAAAAGTTGGTGCTACCGCAATGGTCGGAGGATATAAAATATTTGTTGCCCATCTAAAAATGCTTTTTTTTCCGTTTATACAATTCACTGTGTGGTTCACCGAGAGCACCTAGTGGCTAAGAATTTGGGAAGGCGCTTAAACGATTAACTGACAACTTTTAAAATAGTAGACAACAATATCAAATGGCAACTTTTTTCAGTTCGTATTTTTCAACAGTTGTGCTAGGAGAACAGCGAAAATCTCCAGATTCTATTATTGTACACCGAAGTTAGATGACTCTCCAAGGGCAACTGTCTTCGCGGTTTTATAGCACCCTGGAACACCATCCTCACATTGCTTTCTGAACCTGATTATGAAAACATCTGTTAACAGCTAAGCCGAAAGCGCTTTATCTGGATGACGTATTGGAAAAACTTAAATTATTGAATCAAACTCATCAACGTAAGTTTGGTAATGTCATCTCGAGCAAAGAAGCCGCTGTCACTTTACATAAAATGCTCAGCGCATAGGACATCGGGAATTTTCGCAGTTCCCAATTCTCGCTAAATTCACGGAGCATCTGAATGCTAAAGACAAGATTGCTTAGCCAGTCATTTAAAATAACTCCGAAACGCAATGGAAGACTTTTCATGACGTGGTTGACATAGAGATCCTGTTTTGGATTTTAGATCCATTTGCTGTACAACTGTGAGATTGGAGTTATAACGCAGGGAAGTCTCACAGCGTTTCAAAATAACACATTGACAAGATCCAAATTCACGCAATATAAAAGGGGATTTTTGAATAAAGACTGTTTCTCTTAACTGATATATTAAGCTGGGAAATAGGTGAAATAAATTTCCTTGCAATGTATCCGCATAAGTGGTTGAATGTGGATTTAGTAGAATGCTTTCTCAAACAAAATGTGGCGATAGATTAGACATCACAGAAACAGAAGTTTGACACTCGTCGTCACGTCTGGAGCCGGACATATGTAAGCTCAAGAACATCTGGACCGAGGCTAGCATTAATATCTCGAAAAACATATTGTTAGGAAGTTACTATACCTCCTCATGCGTAACATACCTTACAGCTAAAAGTCAGTAATGAATAAATACTATTTTAAATATTAATGAAGATTTTTGTGTAATTATACATATGACTCGATGTTGCCACACAATGAATTTTATCTTGAATATGTACAAGGTAAAAATAAGATTTATAGGGGAAAGAGCAGTTATACCAACAGAAAAAATTTAGCAATCATAAAGTGTTTTCCAATTTGACCATCGGAAATCACAAATACACGTCTGTTAAGCGTTGCTAATTTCTGAAATGGTGGTGATAAGTGGTGCGGGGTCAATGAGAAGTGGAAATGCCTTAGCCAGTAGCTCCTCCATGTGTTATCTTAATCCCGTTATGCGGAATTTCGGTAATCACAGTAAAGATGAACCTGTGGAAGCTTGAAAAGCAATGTTCGTGGGGCAGTATCTTTTACAGGAGGAAAGGCTTCTGAAGCCAAGGATTGAATTTATCTCTGTGAACTGAAGTGAATTTCAGGCAGTGGCCACAGCTACCTAAGGTCATAGCCCAGGTTCGTCAGCATATCACTTACCTTGGCAGAAAAGGAATTCGGGATTGGTGAAGCGCGCGTAAGTGAATGCCAGGAATGCCTCGAGGCACTTTTATCAGTAAAATGCCAGTGTTAGTACTTTAACAACCAAGAAGTTAATTACCCTTCAGTTGCTGCATCCAATAAACACTTTTATGCCTTTCTGAACTGCGTTGAGCTGAGCTAACAATAATGTAGTTTCTGTATCAGCATGGATATGGTTGGGACCACATAAACATCTGCACCAGACGTTTCTGTTTCGGCTGGGTCCATACATTCTGGGACATGTTGACATCATACTTGACTTTGTTGACCATGGTTAGTGACGTAGCGATGATTATTCTCAACACCAATAAGCTAAAATCGTTTGGAAAGTCTTTCTGAATTCTGTCTTGCTACATTCGTTTCTGCTCGCATACAGGCTTTTGCCTCCAGTTAAATATGAGTTACCTGTCTGGACACTTTGGTCCCACCCACTAGAAAGACATGGACAGGACTTTGAATTGTTCGCAACAATCGTGCACAATGCTATCCTTTCACATCACTAGCTCTGTTAACGAGGTACAATTAACAGGTATTTTTAATGTGTGGGCCATATTTTCCTTATCCTAGAGAAGTGCCGACAAATGAAGAGGTTTGAAAGGGTAATATTTGGTGCAACAGATAAATAATTATTACTCCACACTCGATAGCCTACCCCAGTTTTCTTCCGCCTAATGACTGAGCCACTTACCAACCCCGAAGTAAATGAGGTAAGCCTTGCTGTAGCCGTAATTGGTTGAACACGAATCTCGAGTTGTTTATCAACTCCGCTCACTGTGACAGCTGTGGATGATTGCTGTTTAGTGTTGTACTGGTTCATTTTTCCCTCTGCTCTCTGCCACTGACAACTGTTGCACTGCTGCTTTGCTACCCCTTGAGACTGCGACTGTCTGACTGCTCGGTCACGCCCCCAGACAAACGAAGGAATACAAAGGGCCAGAAGTCAGTAGACAGAGAGCGTAACTACACCCCTCATTTACACCCATCAAAAAATTACCTTCTCCATCACCAATCTCATTACCCTCTATACACCCACCACATCAACATGCACAATATTCCCTATATCTACTTCACTACCTTTAAAAAACCACAATCCTCCCATAACTCAAACTAATCCAACCTTCTTTAAAACCATTCCTCAACAAAACAATCCCAACCCCACAATCTTTCCCCTTACCTTATAATCCCCCCACCTATATCATCCAAATCCATTCCCCCACCCCCCCCCCACACTATACCTCAATCTACACACAACAATAACTTACCCCCCCTATTACAACCCCCCTCTATATAATAATTCCATCACAACCCTACCCAACCCCCCCACTTAACCCTCCCCCCCTTTATTAACCTCCCCCTCCCCCTCATCATACATCCTCAACCCACAAATCCCCAAACCTCCCTCACAATTACTTCACCAACATACCACCTTTTAACCCCCTATCCAACTCCTTCACCCCCCCCATTATTTCCAATTTTTTATTCCCCCTTTTTTGGTTTTTTTTTTTTTTTTTTCCCCAATTTTTTTTTTCCAACCACTCCCCCCCCGGGCCCCCCACCCCCCCCCCCCCCCCCCCCCCCCCCCCCCCCCCCCCCCCCCCCCCCCCCGGGGGGTGGGGGTGTGCGTGGGGTGTGTGGACCCACAAATGGGACATACGAGGAAAATCTGAAGAAAAGCTGTGGGATTCTGACGCTGTGTTATTTTGCACTCACGATAGCATCAGTATTTTTTGGAATTTCAGTGCAATGAGTGTTCGCAATCAAGAGGATATAACAAAATACGTGTGCATGTTTAGATATCATTCTTGTTTCTGCATGGGCGTCTATATTAACCAACGTGCAAGTGAGCACCTTTTGCTGACAAAACAGCTACTGTGAAACACTGGGGTGTTTTGCGATGTGCGTGTGTGACTCCGATGTCCTTCTCAGATACTAATTGTCTGTAATACGTTAATATCTGGACTGCTGACTAGTTCTCTATACTGAAAAATATCCTGAACATTTGAAAACGCGACACACCATAGCATGATATTTGTTTACCTTACACATTGTGTAAGCCAACTTCAAGGTCGGATGGCATTTACCTTTTATTTGCATACATTCTAACCCAACATATTAAGAGCGGAATACTGAAATATTAACCGAATGCCTTCTTAAATTTCACCCGAGATCCTAAACGTCAGCACTGAATATTCAATCCAACGGAGTTATCAACCTACCGTTGAATAGGTTTCAGAGAATTCTCGGTATCGATACCGCCTGCAGTGAAAATGCAGTTATCAGTGCAGTCCTAAAGCTCGTCATTTCTTGGGACTTTCGCCATAAAGACAAAAAGATTTTCCGATAGATTTTAAACCTCTGAATTTCCATTAATTTGCAAACCAAGGATAAAAATTAGTGACATATATTATAAGTATATTTACTTGAACTCACAAGAGTAAACCGGAGTGCGCCTTATCAATTCTAAATTCTTGCTGCATACCGGTTCAAAAGTAAGTATTTTGTTTCAGTTATTCTGCTCCGGATGTTGCTATATTCGTGCGCCCTACCTGTCGCAGACTACCCCCATGTACACAGGAATTCTGAGTATAACACTCTGAACTGTAGACGCAATGCAGCACACCAATTTTAATGCAGATCGCATGGATGAGACTAGGCGACTTTAGATTCGGGAGCAGGCGTTCCAGGCACAAGATACAGAGGTCAAGAAGTTCCTCCGTTCCATATGGGAACCACGATGGATGCAAATCCCTTCTCATCATCAATGACTCAGATGCGCACAGCCTGTACTAGAGGTGACTGCACCGGAGGGGTAAACAACTATCAACCGGTTACTTCGAGTTGGGATATAAGTGACAGTGCACTTGGGATGAACTCCCATCGCTCTTTCGTCATTTTAATATTGCTACACACCCCGCGATTACTTGACCAGTGGGATGGTTCACCGCATGTGTTAAGATTGGCTTGGTTAGATACACAGTAATTCAATCATAATTCACTAGTTTCATAAGTAGAACAAACGTACCAGGCGGATAGCCGAAATAATGACAACATTTTTGATATTTAAAATAGCCTACTACTCCGTAAAACATTGGTCTGGGTGTAATCATTCTATACACGAATAATTGTAGACAAATTTCACATCATATGAGCAGTTGTGTCCGTAACTGGCTAGTTGATAAATTTATAAATATTATCATGCGCTTGCAGTGGCATTACACGGTTGTGGGTTTAATCTTTGTCAGCACAAATTTCTGGGAATACCTGTGACCCACGTAACTGTTGTACCGTTATCTGAAAAGTACTAGTGTGATTCTTGGTTAGTGCGACCACTACTGGTTCCTTACATTGTATGAATTTCTTTCACTCGGCCAATTGAACGTTATCTACGCCCGCTTAAAACAATTCATCAGCTAAATTTTCACTAGAGAACGAAGTTATGCTCAGGTCGAGATAACCATACTGCGAGATACGGTTGTGCTCTCACACGACCTGCCGATGATACACAGGAAAGTGTACGTACTTATATTAATTTGAGGCCCCGTATATTTCCAATACAATGGTAGAACCGAGGTGCTTCTTTAGTAGGGAGTAATAATAGTACCAATAATAATCATAGTAATTGATGTATTTCCCATCGAGTGAAAAGCTGGGTCCATGCTCGACACAGATCACAGGCAATATTATGTTCTCATATTTATCTGTGTTTCTAGCAAGGTATTTAAAATATGATTTTGTTTTTGCGAAGGTGGGGTGCTTTGTCACACTTTAAGTGTATTGCAAAAAATAAGGGCTGGTTGCATTGCATACATTTGAGGTATTCCACCTATCATACGTTAGACAAGCCTTCATTAAATAATTCGTCAGATGATCTTCCTCGTGAAAAAGTGACCATAGTGTCTAGGTCAATGTAGCTTCTAAGCTTACTACAAAACGACTGCAAACTCCCACACAACCTGATTGTGACTGGGAGTTTATTACACAGAGAAGCATATCAGGTGGGAAAGTAGTTAAACCGCGAATTTGTCCTATATGGTGGTAGAATCAGGGTAATATCTTTGTTACGATAGACTAACTTGCAATTCTTCTGCAATGCTAATGTGGGTAAAATGCAAGTGGCATTGTCTTGGATCAGACTTTACAGTAGTATTAAATTACGCTTTATTCCTTCTGGCCAAAACAGATCAAATTGGTGTTATCGACAGCGCTCCCGATAGTACTTGGTGGAATGTTTACCTAATAGGTGTTTAGTAAATGACCACCGTACACTTTCTCTTGATGTTCTGTCAGATTTCATCATATTGCCACAGAGTATGCTGCAATATTCCAGGATAGAACCAGTACGGGTTATCAAAGAGTTAACTCTGGCTTAGATTATTTGCACCTTGGGAGATATATTGGCCACAGATTTTCTGGCTCATGCTGTCTAGTACTCAATTCGCTGAGAAAAGTTGAAGATCAGGAATGTCTGGTTCCGAGGTCGCGTGCAAACCGTTGTACACAGAGGTAATCGTTGTTGGGTGTGATAGATCCTTAGCTGCATTTTACTACAATTCTGGTGTGAGTAAATTTGGATTAGTTATCCATGAGTCAGATTGCACAGCAATATCGAGTTTTGTTCTTAGATTTGTGGACAATTCGGGTCAAACTGCAGTTGCTAGTACCTATACCTTAACAGAACTTTCACCTACAATGGCACAACTCGAGGGAATCGATGTACAAGAGTTTGCTGAAATGGATGATGACTTTGCAACCAACACCGGACTAAACTCAAACGTTATTTTTAATGAGATACTGACTACGGTACACTCCTACGGGAATAAACAAGAAGCGCCTGTTGATGGAGAACTTGGAGAAAATGAGGTGGAAGCCACTGAAATGCCAAAATATAAAGTCCGGCATATTTTGATATAAAGGAAATCATTTGTTGTGGAAAATGGTCCGACCATGCTAGGTAACCTAGCCTGTGTTGAGAACCCTCTTTTCAACTACGTTAGTGATAAAAGAAAAAACAGAAAAAATTCGCCTTCTTCTAAAAATTAGTTGGCTGAGGAAAACTGTGTTTTGATTTGTTGGAACACTACATAATTGAACTGGGTTTGCCGCTTTGCACGAACGCATATAATATGTTCGATACAGGTTGTGCGTGAAAGTGAATTCCATACCATGCTGCTCACATCGAGAAAGTAAGATACGTAATGTTTTGCACATGACCACCATGCTTTGACCACCTCTCTCTATTGACCACATTGGTCAAGTTCCTTAGGTGGTCATCCTACAGAAGGCCTGCCCCATAAATCATTACAAAGTCATATTTATTGGCTATTTACATGTACTCGTAGTTTGTTGATAACAGAGGAAATTAACCGAATAATTAAAACTATTAGGCATGCATCAAATCTAGACTCAGTAAGACAACCATTAAGGGCCCGGAACATCCCAGGCCTACAGTTCATCTCTACACGAAACGTCAACGGTGAGCATTCCATCAAATCCTTGTTTGACTAGTACTAGCAGGTCGACCATTAGCAAGCTGTAGCTCTGAGCTGCTAAAATGATAAAGACCGACGTTGCTTTTATATGGTGGGTTATAGCGCCGTTCACCATCCCTCGACTGACTGGAGTTCCACTACAACCGTGTGGAGGACGGGTCAGTCCCTTCACCGAGCAATAAACTCATCAGACTTACACCATTTAATTTTGGCACTACTACCAATCAGGCTTGTGTACTGATTACAAGTAGTAATAGGGGGTTTTGCACGGTATAAGCAAAAATGCATCACGTCTAGTCTCACTCAGAGAATCATCACACGTCCGGAATAGCACTGTACGGCCGTTTCATTGATTAGATAATTGACAGCAGTGCACATTCCTTCTGATGTGAATGGGGCAAAACTCTCATCAGGCAAGTAAAGCTAGGTTGTCCGGGTGAAGGTGGATGATTAAGATAACTTTAATTGACTTTTCTATGTGGATCTCAAGTTAGAGGATGATGATGATGGTGGAGACAAACAAGCAAATTGTATTAACCGTGAGAAACGGGATGAATGAACGTATACCGTGGAATATGCATGCAGCAAAGCAGAGAAGTGCTTAGGAGGCGGGCAGCGCTTGACCTGGTCGGGACAGATGTCTTTGCATTTGCAGAGTGATAGATTACTGAATCAGACAGTAAGCAATGGCTTCAAGGTATTAGTCAATTAAGCACTGGGTATTTACGTAGCTTCCGAAGCGAAGAGAATCGCTAATGGGGAGAGCTTATGTATTGCGGCTCGCTAACATCAAATGACTACCTAAAATAATTATTCAATAAAATAAGTCCTAAGAGCACAGAAGACAGGGTTCTAAGAGAGACATGAAAGGCAGGAAGCCGGTACGGAGTCTCACGTAGACAATTAAATGAACGGTTAGTGCATACAAAAGCCATTAGGCTGGAGAAAAGAGAAAAATACAATGTGTAACTGTTGAAATGACATGCTATTAGAGTAAGGCTGTGCAACGAGAGGGGAAAAACTACTTCATGGAAAGCGTAGTACACATGGTTAAGAGGAGACAGTACGAGGATGCAGTTGAAGCGGTGTGAGCAATGAAGATACAGCGCTATACGGAGAGAAAGAGGCGACCTAGAATTAGACAATATGTGGGTGCGGCAGCG